GGTGGGTAGATGGACCCGGGTCCGCGGACCGGTCCGTAAGCCCGCGGATTTCGCGGATAACGGACTCGTTTTTCTCAAATCCGTATGATTATGTCTAATTTTTGAGCCCGGCCCGTTAAGTCCGCGGACTTGGCGGATTTAATCCGTGGGCTCGCGGGCTAGTCCGCGGACTTCACATTTAATATTTTTAAATATTATGATTTTAATATTAAGTTGTGTATTTAATTTTTTGAACCATTATTTAGGCCCGCGGACCGGTCCATTATCCGCGGATTTTGGCAGGCCGGATACGGACTTAAAAAATAAGTCCATTTATTTTACGGACCGGACTTATCCGGCTCGTATAAAACGCGGGTTTTACGGACCGGGCCTTAAACGGGTCGGACCGGTCCGTATACCCACCCCTACTTAGACCTAATCATTGCTGTATATAATGGTGTAGCGTTACAGACACGAATCGCACGCCCCTCTTTATAATCCCATAAATCACGCCCTATTATGAGCTCGTAACTCTCGGTGTTTATGATCGTTATCTTGCTTATCCCACGGATCATGGGATCTTACTGATTGTCTGAGTTAGCGAGCAAATCTCCCCATATCTAGGTTGCTATACGTATAATTTCAGGCCTTGTCGATGTACAACATTTATCATTTATCCAAGAGACAGCTTGATCGGTGGGCTTGGCATTTTGCCGATGTGCCTCGGGTCGGCCAATGGGAGACTACCTCGGTACAAAGCCCTCTCAGCTTGAGCGTGATGGATCAGTGTATCGGGTCGGCGTATTGTCGATGTGCATTGGATCGGTCAATAGGAGACCATCACAGTACAAATTAAGATATGTAACAAAAGATCAACATTAACACTAGTTAACACAATCTTTAACCAAATTATCTAAAGTTCAAATCATAAAAAATTAATCATTACTTTCTACGGATAATTTCTAACCGATATGCATGCAAGTGTTTACGTACTATTTCTCCAATAGTAAAATGACTGAGATTTACTTTTCTTGGTTTGTTGGTGTACCAACCTGGCTAAGGCCGACCTTAACCGAGTTCACTAGATAATTCTGACCGAGATAACCATTCGTGTAAATTAGAATAAACATATGAAATGCCGAGGTGTAACATCGGAGAAAGAAGACTGGTAATACACCTCGGCACACAGAGATGACGTGGCTTAACCGCCAATAACCTTCAGACAATAACCAAACAACAGTTACACGGTTACACGAGGACAACAACAGGTAATAATATAAGCAATACATCACATGGGACAAAAAAAAACTAACTTGATCGTCGGAGTCCTTTTTGCAGGTACATCCGAGGACCTCAAGAAAAAGATCGGAGCTCGCGAAGAGAATTGAACCTGGGGAAGAAGGCATCCCATACCAAAAGACGAGTTGATATCGGTGATATCGGTAAGAACATTTGGCGCTAGAAGGAGGGCCTGGTAAAATTTCCCCTCCGACCACCTTATGGTGTCAACTCGGAGCCAAACCAATAACATGGACGAAAACGCCACTTTGAGGCGATTACTTGAGCAAATCGAGTTGATGCAACAACAACATGCAACAGCGATGGAAACCATGCGCAAACAAGATGAAGATGTCTTGCAACAATTACGTGCATAAAATGCAGCCTTTCGCGCCCATGCACAACATCATCGTTCCCATTCTCCTCCTCCTCGGTCTAGCCATGTTCCAACGGCAACCGAAGAGCATCATTCCACTTCAAATCCTACTTATATTTCAGAATCTTCCCGAACTCACCGTTCTACGCATACTCAGACTAGTCGGGCAACGTATGCCCATCATTCTTCTCGGCGCCACCCCTTCGTGGATGGCATCATGGAAGTTCCCCTACCACCGGCATGGAAATCACTGAACATCGAACGGTATGATGGAACAACTGATCCTGACAAGCATATTGATGCATACGTCACTCAAGTTAATCTTTACACGAATGAAGACGCCATCATGTGTCGTGTCTTCCCAACCTCACTTAAAGAAGCAGCACTTAGTTGGTATACCCAACTTCCACCCCGTTCTGTGAACAACTTTGACACCCTGGTACGACTTTTCTCAGCACAATATGCTACAAGTTGGCCTCATCAGATAACATCAGCGGCATTGTCCAACCTGAGGCAACGAGATGACGAATCCTTAAGATGTTTTATGGAACGCTTTGCCAATGTCTCCATCAAGATCCGTCATCTTAACTCGGAAGTCGCCCTCCATTCCATGTTGATGGCTCTAAAACCTGGACCTTTTGTGGATAGTCTGTGCAGACATCAGCCAACAAATATGGACGAACTTAGAGCCCGTGCAGCAGGGTATATTCAGATGGAGGAACACGCTGAATTCCGCAACACCATCCGAGAAAGTCTCTCCAACAAAGGTGAAGCCAGCGGTAGCGGTAAAGAGAAATCTAAAAGTTATTTTACGGACCAAAAATAAAAAAAACCACGCCACACGCGTGGTCCCAGGTTTGACTTTTATACACCTCTTAATGCCCCTCGTGTTAATATTTTGGAAGAGGCTAACCATGCAGATTTGATATCTCTACCTCCCCCGACACACAATCCGCCCAACGCTGATAAAAGCAAACATTGCCGTTTTCACCGGAATCACGGGCACACCACGGAAGAATATTGGACTCTTAAAGACCGAATTGAAGAGCTTATTCAAGCAGGACAACTCGGACAATATATTCACCGGGGTCAAACTTCCCACGGAGGCTTTCGCGGTCGGGGACGAGGTCGTGGACGAGGTCGTGGACGATATCAAGGAGGACGATACCAGGATTACCAAAGTCGTTTCGAGAACAATCGTTACAACAATACAAATCCACGACAAGAGGGTAAACCGAGTTCCAACAGCACTGATCAACAACGTACTGAAAAACCCCCTGAGGAACACACCATACGTGGTGTGATCAACACCATAGCTGGAGGTTTTGCTGGAGGTGGAAGTTCCAATTCGGCTCGAAAACGCCATCTTCGTACTATCCACAACATCAATAATTGTGACAATGCTGAGTCGAAGCCGGCAACTCCAACTCTTCCTATCACTTTCACTGATGAAGATTATGAAGGCATAAGCTAAAACCAAGATGATCCCATGGTCATCTCGGTCGAAGTTGCAAACTGGGAAGTTCATAAAACCTTGATTGATCAAGAAAGCTCTGCTGATGTGCTATACTGGCCAACCTTTCTGAAACTTGATCTCCCACATAGTTTAATTCAACCATACTCGGAACCCCTTGTTGGTTTCGCAGGTGAGCGCGTCCATACTCGTGGTTTTATTGAACTATTAACCTCTTTTGGCACAACAACAAATTCCAGACGTATCTTAGTCAAATACTTGCTAGTGGATGCTGTCACTTCATATAATATACTCATTGGGAGACCCACCTTAAATCAACTTGGAGCGGTTGTGTCTACCCCTCATCTCTCCATGAAGTTTCCGGGGATGAATGGCCATATAGTGACTGTTAAAGCCAATCAACAAGTGACACGAAAGTTTTATGCTGAGAGCTTGAAGATTCACCCTGTCACAGCCCCACCCGAAGTATCCAATTCCACCATGGTAGCTCATGTTAACCTGACAGCAACTACCGAATTAGATCCTCAAGTTGACATGCTTGATCATCGTCCAAATCCTACTGACGAGTTGATCAAATTCTAGATCGGCAACACAGCCACCCAATGTACTCGAATTGGCCAATGCATGGATCCAGACATTCAAGGTAAAATCATGGCACTTCTCACTCACAATGCTGACCTTTTCGCCTGGACTAGTGCAGATATGCCTGGGATTGATCCCAACTTCATTTGTCATAAATTGGCAATTTATAAGGAAGCAAAACCTGTATCACAAAGACAAAGGAAGCTCGGTGGTGAGAGGCGTGAAGCAGTGAAGCTTGAAACTCAAAAGCTTTTGGATGCAAGATTCATCAGGGAAATTAAATATACTACTTGGTTAGCCAATGTAGTTATGGTCAAGAAATCCAATGGAAACTGGCGTATGTGCGTTGACTACACAGATTTTAAATAAAGCTTGTCCCAAAGATTCATATCCACTTCCCAGAATTGACAGGTTGGTTGATGGAGCCTCAGGTTACGATATGCTTAGTTTTCTTGATGCATATTCAGGTTACAATCAAATCCTTATGTATCCTCCAGATGAGGACCATACTGCCTTTATTACTGAGCGTGCCAATTACTGTTACCGTGTTATGCCTTTTGGACTCAAAAATGCAGGAGCAACTTACCAACGCCTAATGGATAAGGTGTTTGCTAAGCAAATCAGACGTAACCTTGAAGTCTACGTGGATGATATGGTAATCAAAACCAAATCACCTGCTGAGCATGTTCAAGACATAGCTGAGATTTTCCAGCAAGTCCGACAACATAACATGAGATTAAATCCCGAGAAATGTGTTTTCGGGGTCCAAGGTGGAAAGTTCTTGGGATTTATGATAACATGCAGGGGAATTTAGGTGAATCCTGACAAATGCCACGCTCTGATTAACATGTGCAGTCCACAAAATCACAAGGAGGTGCAGAAGTTAGCAGGTCGACTGGCTTCACTATCTCGGTTCATTCCCAAGATGGCAGACTCCTTAAAAAGCCAAAAGATTTCCAATGGGACGACCGATGTGAACGAGCTTTCGCCGATTTCAAGGAATTCTTATCTGCTCCTCCCATCTTGTCTAAGCCGCGCAGCCAAGCTCAACTTTTGCTATACCTTGCTGTAGCTGATAATGCCCTTAGCGCAACCCTTGTACAAGAGGATGGTAAAACACAGATTCTCATTTATTTCATCAGTCGTGTTTTGCAGGACACCGAGAAACAATATCAAACAATCGAGAAGTTGGTGTTGGCATTGGTAACCTCGGCTCGCCGACTTCGTCCTTATTTCCAGAGTCACCAAATTGTGGTTAAGACCGATTACCCCATCAAGTAGATACTCAGAAAGCTCGATCTAGCAGGGCGAATGATAGCTTGGTCAATTGAATTGTCCGAGTATGATATCAGATATGAAAGTCGGGGACCTCTTAAGGCTCAATGTCTCGCTAACTTCATAGCCGAGCTCACACCCGCAGTCCAAACAGAAAGTCCAACTTGGATTTTGCATCTAGATGGATCGTCCAACGTTAAAGGAAGTGGTGCAGGCATAATTCTTAAAGGACCCAACAACATGATGCTGGAATTAGCCATCAAATTCGATTTTCAAGCCACCAACAACCAAGCTGAATACGAAGCACTTCTGGCAGGTTTGAGGTTAGCCAAAGATGTCGGTGTTAAAAGGTTGATATGCTGTAGTGATTCAAAGTTGATTGCAGAGCAAGTAGGAGGAAGTTACCAAACAAAGGAACCACAACTCCAAAGATACAATTTAATGGTAACTCATTTAACTTCTTCCTTTGATGATTTCCAGATCAAACATATTCCTAGAGAGAAAAATGCCCGAGCTGATCTGTTATCCAAGCTTGCGTCCACCAAACGCCCTGGGCAACACAAAACAATCATACAAGAAACCATTAGTGCCCCAAGTCAAGATTTTCTGGCGATATCCACTGATAACCAAGGACAATCAACTTGGATGTCGGATATCTGGAAATATCTCACAGATGGAATTTTACCAGACAACAAAGCTGAAGCATCCAAGATCAAAATCAAGTCCGTTCACTTCACAATTGAGGCTGGTGACTTATTCAAAAAAGGTTTCTCAACCCCTCTTCTCAAATGCCTAAACCCAGACCAAGCTCAATATGTAATGGACGAGATACATCGTGGTATTTGCGGAATGCATTCTGGTGCTCGCTCCATGGCAACTCGGGTTATCAGAGCTGGTTATTATTGGCCCACGATGAGAGCAGACTGTAAAGTGTATGTGCAGAAATGTAAAGCTTGTCAAGAATTTGGCAACTTACACCAACTACCTGCAACAGCATTGCATTCCATGCAATCAGCTTGGCCATTCGCATGGTGGGGAATGGACATACTTGGTCCTTTCCCAATTGCTAAGAATCAATTGAAATTTCTACTTGTAGGTATTGATTACTTTACAAAGTGGATTGAAGCAGAGCCTCTTGCAAAAATCACAACAGCCAATGTCCAGAAGTTTACATGGAAGAAAATCATCTGTAAATATGGCCTACCCCAAGCAATTACCACCGACAATGGCAAGCAGTTTATAGACAAAAACTTCGAACAGTTCTTGAAATAACTGGGAATCAACCACAAAGTAACTTCAGTCGAGCATCCACAAACAAATGGACAAGCTAAAGCGGCCAATAAGATTATTCTCAGGGAACTTCGGAAAAGGTTGGGCACAACAAAAGGAGAATGGGTGGAGGAATTGACCAGCATCTTATGGGCATACCATTGTACTCCACAAACCATCACTCAGGAGACCCCATACAAATTAACTTACGGATCCGATGCTATGATCCCAGTTGAAGTTGGTGAACCAAGTCACAGACGATTAACTTTTGACGAAACTTAGAATGTGGAACAGCTTAGATTAGACCTGGATTTGCTTGCTGAAACTCGGGAATGTGCCAAGATATAGGAAGAAGCTTGTAAGCTCCGCGCTGCAAGACGATACAATTCAAGATTGAAGCCGAGATCATTCCGTGAGGGCGATCTCGTATAGCGCGCCACCGAAGATGCCCGAAAAGACACATCGACAGGAAAGTTTGCAGCAAATTGGGAAGGCCCCTTTCGAATCTCGGAATGTTTACAAAATGGGGCATATCGGTTAATTGAGCTGAGTGGTAAAGTTCTTCCTAGAACTTGGAATGCCACTCACTTGAAATTTTATTACAGCTGAAGTATTTGAATCCAAGCATTGTACTCTTTTTCCTACTCTGGTCTTTTTTCCCAGTTTGAAAACATTGAAGGGTTTTGGCCAGAGAGGTTTTAACGAGGCATGCTTGTTGAACCTTAAAGGATGTAATCAAATGACAAGATATATCAAAGTTCCCTTTTCTTAATATGTGCATCTATTATTCTTTATTTAACAATATATTTTCAAGATTGGCCAAGTTTGAGCCTAGCTATGAAAGTCATTTACATTGGCCGAATTCGAAGCCAACCTCACGAAATTCTGTCTATCAAGTTGGCCGAATTCGAAGCCAACCTTATGAAATCTTATCAAATTGGCCGAATTCGAAACCAACCTTATGAAATCTTATCAAATTGGCCAACCTTATGAAATCTTATCAAATTGGCCGAATTCGAAGCCAACCTTATGAAACATTATCAAGTTGACCGAATTCGAAGCCAACCTTACGAAACTTTATTAGATTGGCCGAGTGCGAAGCCAACCTTATGCAATTTTATTGAATTAGCCAACCTTGAAGCCAAATTATGTAAATTACTCAGATTGACTAAATTTGAGCCAAACCGTGAAATCCTTGGCCGAGTCCGAGCCAATTATATCCTTTATCATTCAAGTTAGCCGAGTTCAAAATTACAGGTTAGTAAATTTGTTTAAATTTGGAATCAAGACGTCAATATTTATGATCAGGGAATTAACTCAACATTTAACATAAGTCAAATTTATGTAAGCAATGTAATTAATTCAACATTTAAAACATCATCACATAGTTCAAAATTACATATTTAGCCTATGGAGGCCAGAGAAAGCAGTAGTAAACATAAATCCTAAATGCCAAATATTTTAGTAGTAGTTACATTAGCAAAGTTACTCATTATTTTCCTCGCCGCTTACATCGTTAGGGATGTCATCTTCATTGACAAGCTTCCCTTTGAAAACATCTTTCGTGATGTGAACTTCTCCCAAATCGACATTTGGGGCAACAATTTGCACTTGTCTCAATGCCTTGGCAAAACCCCTCTTATGTTCTACTACCACCTGGTACTCGGTAGCCTCCATCTCACTTTTCATCTTTTTGTTCTCATTATCTAAGTCCCCAATCTTTTTCACATTGATTGCAATAACTTCTTGGCAGGCCTTGTTTTTCTTGTACAGCTCTACCATCTCCTCCTTCAGGTTGTGGATATTGCCCTCGTACTCCTTTGTTTTCTTTTCCAATACTTTCATGTTCTGTGTTTGAGCTTCCTTCTCCTTTTCCAACGAATTTACCTTCTTCAAAAGATCCTCAACTTTTGCTGCATAAGATTTATTTGATCTCACCGAGATTTCAAAGGCCTTGGAATTCTCCTCCAATTTTCTTTTCAAATCACCAACCTCCTTAACCAAGGGCCCGACCTGCGCATTTTCGGTTTTTAGTTTGGACATCAGTGTAACATTCTTGTCCCATTTTTTCTTCCAATGATCCACCACAGCAATGGATCTTTGAAGAAATACTTGTACCGAGTCCAAACCTTGAACAACCCCAACCTTCTCAATTAAGGCTTTATCAGCAATATAGGCTGGATCCTCCTTGTAGAATGAACTTGCAGTCAACTCGGCATTCCAAAAGGAAATCACGTCGGGTGACATGCTTACATGATCCAACCTTGATAAAGGGTTCTCTGTGTCATATCGTTGATGCAACGATCTCGGCCGGTTTTTAGACGACCTTCCATGCGAGGTCGGCGAACTCACCCCAAGCTGAGCAATTGAGGCTTCCAAATTAGTTACTTGCTATTCCGAGAACTCAGAAACTGGTATACTTGAAGGCTTCAAAAGAGCAATTTACAATCAGAGCAATTTATATAATAATATACCAGTTTCAAATTTCTAAATAACAATGAGAAACATTCCTTTTCTTTCTCCAAGTCAATAACATGAATGGTCACCTCTTTGGCTACATCTTCCTTTGGAGCACTTGAATTCACAACATGAGCAACACTTTCATGCTCCTCACTAGCAGCATTATCAACAATCCTATGCTCATCAGCTTTCGACTCAACACCTCCTATCTTTTGTTTTTTCACTTTCGGCTTAGGAGGGGCCGAATCTGGAATTTCCTCGATGTTGAATTTCCCTTTCAATTCGCGCCATTTACTTCTCCCCATGATACCTACATCAAGCAACATAATATTGCGTAAGAATCAATTCAAGACATACTCAATCGTCAAAAACATTATAATTATAACTTACTTTCTAGGTCATCTTGGGGACTCTTTGATCCAGCAAGCATTAAAATCGACTTGCTTTCTAAAGGCCGAGGTAGCTTTTGCAATTTATCTATATCTTCCACCTCGGAGGGTGTTAATTCCAAACCTTCTGAGCCAGAAAATTTCATAGGCTGAGATTGCCAGTAGAAGGGGAATCTCGGCTTTCCATTCAAGAAGAACACACAGTCTAATCTCGGATCACTACACGTAGACCGAATTTTGACGTATTCTTGTTTGAAGTTCTTATACGATTGTGTGAATATTTGGAACAATCCTCCTCCCTTTGAACTCCCGCTCAACGAAACCCAACCAAAGGGTGGTTCTCCTAGCTTTATTCGATGAAAATGCATAAACTTGGGCACACTCACTTCCATCCCTAATACTGCACACAATACTTGAAATGCACGTAAAAAGCCCTAACTATGAGGGTGTAGTTGACTGGGTGCTATGTTCACCTTTTCCAAGAACTCACACTCAAACGGTGTAAACGGCATTAGCACACCTAAATCCTTAAACACAAAACTTCAGGTGATGTTGCAAGACACTCACCCCCATTAAATCCCCAAACCTGCTACTATACTGACCAACATCACCTCTCACCCATTCATACCCAGATGTTACAATTTTGGGATGAGAGTCTCTTCGATTGTTTCCTCCTCTTTTCCGTACTTTCGTCTCCTCCATTTCAACCATTTTACCCTTTCCTTTGTCACCTTTCATTTCCCCTTTACCTCTCAACCTAAACCTATGAGATTCGTATACAACGTGATTACAACTTAAACGCGAAGCAGCAGGGCTAAGAAAATACCTGGAAATACAAATGCTTCACACTCGTGGACGCTAATCTCGCACTTCACCTTCTAGCACTTCTTCAACAGAACATACGAATGATGAGCAAATACTCAAGAGTGTGCGCACAATCCCTTTTTAATGACTATTTTTACATCCCTCCAGAACCCATGCGTTTTCTTTACAAATCACACATCCCCAGAGCATCTGTCGTTTAGTATGTGACCCTCATTTATTACATCCCATAACTCTTCAGCACGTGCACTGAAACGACGTGCCCTTTGGGGTACCAGCTGTCATTTTCCCTATCACTGTGACTCCTCATGTCACCTCAAGTGCGCACTTATTCTTTACACTTTGACCCTTCATTATCTAATCTCGGTCATCTCCACATTTGGGCCACTTCGGCCTCATTAACCTCTTTCGCTCCTATCTCGCTTAGAGCTTGGGGGGCTTATGTACCAACCTGGCTAAGGCCGACCTTAACCGAGTTCACTAGATAATTCTGACCGAGATAACCATTCGTGTAAATTAGAATAAACATATGAAATGCCGAGGTGTAACATCGGAGAAAGAAGACTGGTAATACACCTCAGCACACCGAGATGACGTGGCTTAACCGCCAATAACCTTCAGACAATAACCAAACAACAGTTACACTGTTACACGAGGACAACAACAGGTAATAATATAAGCAATACATGACATGGGACAAAACAAACTAACTTGATCGTCGGAGTCCTTTTTGCAGGTACATCCGAGGACCTCAAGAAGAAGATCGGAGCTCGCGGGGAGAATTGAACCTGGGGAAGAAGGCATCCCATACCAAAAGACGAGTTGATATCGGTGATATCGGTAAGAACAGTTGGTAATAAACATAACACGTACACGCGTTATACAGTGACATTAACCGAATAATGCAACTCGCTAAGCATGATACGCTTTGCTGATTAGCTCACGTTAATCGTGTTCAACTGATTACAATTGCTACTTCCAGAACATAAACAAAACGAATTCACCATTTGCACAAAAAGAATTGAAAGAAAGATTGTGTCAAAGGAGAAAAAACAAAAATCAGAAGGAGGAAAGATTAACTTTAGGCGACACTTTCCCGAACAACAATAACTTGAAATCATTCTCGAGAGGAGTTAAGTTGAGGTCCAAGCAGAAAACCTTGGCATTGCACGATCTCTTGAATACCGAAACTTTTGCAACAACCTCGTTTATGGAAGAAAACGCTTTGTTGGTTGCACCTCTGTCTCTGTGCCTTCTCATGTGTCCTCCGAGGGCCTGGCCCATAAGGAAACCCTGACCACAAATGGAGCACTCGTGCATTTTGGGCCCACTCAGGCCCATAGATTTAGCCCCTGCTCCGAGTTGTTCTTCCCCTCCGAGCCTCACCCTCTTGTGGCTAGCTCTGTGGCCACCCAGTGCTTGAAACGACGAGAATTTGCGGTTGCACGTTTTGCATTCAAAAACTTGAGGGTTTGTGGACACACTTGCATGAGGCGTCATGGCACAGTTTGTCACGTCCCAGCTTTCTAACGTTGTTCCTTCCTTTTCTCTTTCTCTCTTCATGGATCGGTTGAGAATAATGGATCGATGCTACTTAGGATTGTGAATTGTGTTGTGTGATACCAGGTATATATAGAAGACTCGAGGGCATTGACTTGACTAATTAATTTTATTTTTTGGCTAACCTATGATAATGATAGCGATTGGATTATGGGTGCACGTGGTGGTCCTCCACGTGAGTGGTGATGGGGCCACTAATTTGTCTTCCTTGAAACTTCGGAAAATTATTGCGGGGACTAAGGTTCCAATATGTTGGAAACCATGGATGCAATTCCGAGAAAACAACACGCAGCTTCGGAACAAACTTTGTTTATATGAACTCTTTTTTAAAATTTATTTTTTATATGGTTTACTTAATTTATTAGTTAGTACTATGAGAGAATGAACGACTTTGGTCTGTGTTCAAGATGTATGTGCTGCTTTGACATTTTGAGAATGAGTGACGCATGGATGATTCTATCTTGGTAGGCTCTAGATGATTAAATTAGAGCAATACAGTACTTAATAGGTGTACTTAAATAAACAAAATGTTATTACGTATTCATTATCAACATAAAACAGATTTTGATACGAAGTTTTTATAAAATTAATCAAAATAATAGAAAAATTAAGTCTTCATAAAAATAAAATAAAAATTCAGTAATGTTTTAGTTCTATTTATCAAAAGAAAAACACAATCTAATTATTATTATACTAAATCAATTAATAGTAAAAATTTAGTAATTTTTTGGGAAATCTAAAGTAAGGATTTGCTTGAATTTAGAATTGGACCGGCCCTAATTGTGAGGCCTTTATTTGCTATATACTATGGGAACTTATTAGTCGTTCATACACGAATTACTCAAAATCTTATGTGTTGTTTTTTATATTCCTATAAAGAAATAATTAAACAAAAAAGAAATCTTAAAAGAGACGTCTTTAGCATAATACACGTACAATGTGTAATTTCTTCATGCTTTTACGTGAGAAATAACGTTATTTCTCTTATTGTTAACTGCTTTCTTCTTCTTATATTTTTATCGGCATACTTATTGTTAACTTTCTTTTTATGATATTTCCATTTTTTTAATTTTATTTTCTTATTCTTTTCTCTATCACATTATTTAGTATATTTATTATTATTATTATTATTATTATTATTATTATTATTATTATTTCCTCTTATCTCTATTTTCTCCCCACTAAAAATTTTACCCTAAAAAGTAGGATGTACGTACATTTGTATTTTTTTTTTGTTTTAATATTTAGGTGTGATGTTGATGTTGATTCGGATTCCACTTTAGTGCTTGCATTTGAAGAAAATATATAGTTCAAATTAGAATAATCTTGTTTGGAATGAAGACATTTTCTAACAAAAAAAAAATGTAGAAAGTGTAGACTGTCGTTTGCGCTATTAATATAGTTATTAATTTTCTAAAACTTTTCTTTTATTCACGATTATATTTTTGGGAACTTGTGCACTTAAAACCTCTTACAAGAATGTTGTAGAACGATTTGAATAAATAGATGAATTAAATATTTATTGAGTAAGTTCATATAAGCACATATGTACAGGTTGTATTTTTATAATCAAACTTAATTAAATTATTTTTATGTTATGTTGAAGTAGTTATTGAAACAGTTTAGTCAAATATAATTTATTGACTGGTCATAAACTATTATCATTATCTCTCACTAACACTTATGTTACAAGATAAGTCTTAAATTTTTAAAGTACCTTTTATGGTAAATCAAGGTATATTCTCCAAAAGAAATATATTGTAAAATGTTCCAAGTTTTCGTTCTTGGCGGTGGACAGAGACCCCGACCTGATCTACCCATTTCATGTGTACTCAACTACTCATAACTGCACCATTATGTATCATATTTTATATATTTTTAAAACTTCAAATTTCCTTTTATATTAAATATCCACTTTTTAATTATGATTATTTCCCTCTCTCTCTCTCTATTTCTCTCTCTTTAAATATCAGCTTTACTTGTTTTTAAATATTTCTTTTTTACATCAATTTGTTTTGTCTTTCTTATAAAAATTCGATCTTATACTTTCAAATCTGGTATCCACATTCTTATAACTTGCATATCCTAAATATGATAATTATATTATTTATTATTTAAACTAGACATGTATAATAGTTTTTTATTTTATTTTAATACTTATGTTTGAAATTTTATTTTTTTTAAAAAATATTTTATACGGATACTTGTTAACTTTGAAATAATGAAAGTGTTAAAGATTTGACACTTCATTTGGCTCATTAATTTCCTACTCATGTTCTTATAACTGAAAAAAAAAATATGACACAAGTATTTGGTGGCCAAATGTCACTAGATAAAAATTATTCACTTTTTTTATAATTCGTTGTTCATCAAGATATAATAATGTTAGTGTTCGTACTACAAATTGTAATGAGAAACGTCTCAGACTTTTCCTTCTTTTGTTCTAATTAATATCCATCTTGATATCTTTGATCTCTCTTGTTTTTTTTTTTTTTTTTATTTTGTTTTTTTTTTATCTCTTTTCAGTTACGCGTTAATATCTCATCATTTTTCATAATTCTCTATTTAAGATTAAGTTACCTACATGTTGATAACCG